TTTTGTCTCTCTCTTTTAATTTTGTGGGTGTCTGTTTTGAGAGTTTTATGACTTGTTCTGTGTGTAATATGTATACACTGTTGCATGTGATTGCAGTCATAAAGTTGCAAGTGCTCTGTTTTTGGTACTTTTGTGTTGGGTTTTGGGGTTTGCTAGTTACAAGGTCATGCATAGTATGGATATCATGGTAGTTTATCAGAGACACTACACAAATGCACTCATATAAAGAACAGAGCAAAAGCAATGAAGATTTATTGATCATTTTTTTTGTTTCTTCAGTTCGAACTCTTTTTTGTTGTTTTTGTACAAAAACCAACCATAGCAGCGTAAAACGAGGGCAATGTGATCGTTGCTGTCCTTTTTATTGTATCCACAAATGTGTTTATTTAATACCTGCGCAATCATTTTGTTTAGCTTTCATACACATCTATCTTGTATAGCATTCATATATCTTTTTTTTTTCTCTTTTTTTTTGAAAGAAAAGTCCTAAATTCTCACATTTTGAGTGTATATGTTATGAAATTTATTCACCAGTAGACATCACTAGAAAAAAACCTCCCTGCACGTATTCATGGTTTTTTCCCACTCCTTTTTTAGCTCTATAAGTGGTGTTGCAAAAGTATGGACCATGCCCGACGTAAAAAAGGTGTCCTCGCTAAAAGCACATACAGAACGAGCCACGGATGTTGCATTCTCCCCCATCAACCACCAATTGGCGACTGCCTCAGCCGACCGGACAGCAAGACTATGGAATCACGATGGGTTGGCCCTCCGAACGTTCAAGGGCCACTTGGACCGTCTCGCCCGTATTGCCTTCCACCCATCCGGAAAATACCTAGGCACGGCTAGCTTTGACAAGACTTGGAGATTATGGGATGTGGAGACTGGTGAGGAGTTGCTCTACCAGGAAGGCCATAGTAGGAGTGTGTACGGAATATCTTTCCATCACGATGGCTCTTTAGCGGCTTCGTGTGGGCTCGATTCTCTTGCTCGTGTGTGGGACCTTAGGTCCGGGAAAAGTATTCTCGCTTTTGAAGGGCATGTGAAGCCGGTAAGGCTGTTTCTATGTTTTGACTCAACTTTTTTGTGTTAATTTACAGAAACCGCCTTTGAGGTTATACTGTAGTTAAAAGTACAAATAATGCCTTGAGTTTGTTACTTTGTTATTTTAAACAATAATTGAGTTTTTTTCTAATACTTATTTGTGTTGTGCCTAACCACATGGTAGTAATTATTGTGAAAGTTTTTTGAAATATTGAAAATTGGGTTTCTGTTTTCAGGCTCTAGGTGTAAGTTTCTCTCCCAATGGCTATCACTTGGCCACCGGGGGTGAAGACAACACTTGCAGGATATGGGATTTGAGGAAGAGGAAATCTTTATACATAATACCGGCTCATTCTAACCTTATTTCACAGGTCAAATTTGAGCCTCAGGAGGGCTACTTTCTGGTTACGGCTTCGTATGATATGACCGCTAAGGTATATGGTGCATTTGTTATAATAAAACCTTTAGCATACACATACTATATGATTTATGAACTGTCTTTAAATTGTCAATTTCTTTCTTCAGATCTGGTCTTCTAGGGATTTTAAGCCTGTGAAGACACTGTCCGGTCATGAATCAAAAGTTACATCATTGGATGTCGTCGGAGGTTAGTTTCTCTCTCTCTCTCTCTCTCTCTCTCTCTTTGTGGCAAAAAATACTCATTTTCTTAATCATTTTGTGACAGATGGACAGTGCATTGCGACTGTTTCTCATGACCGAACGATCAAGCTATGGTCGGCTAGAGAATCTGAGAAAGAGAAGGATATGGAAGTCGACTAGCTTTGGGTGCGACTATTTCTACTTTAAATTCATTCCGAGGACTTCTGTTGCAGGGAAGAAAACTGAGGTTATCTTCTCAAATGGAGAAATTATTGTTGGGAGATAAAAGTACCTTTATGTCCTAAATATGAGATCGTGCTGTTGTATCAGTAAGCATGAATTATGAATATACTGGTTTTTCTGTATGTTACCCTATTGTGACTTGGAATTTATATTTTTCTTTTAATTCAGAAAAACCAGTGTCTGATTTTTTTTTTTTAAGAAAAAAAAAGGCGGAAGGAAAATTATTGTCGCACCGAACAATTTTTGTCGTTTCAGATGTATTTTTAGCAAATTAAATGTCATCTTTAGAATTGCTTTTTACTTGTTTTGGTTTTGTATCTGTTTGTTCGAAGAAACTAATATACCAACTGTAGTCTTTCTAAGCAACTGTTTATGTGGAGAAAAATTATTGATTTTTTTTTTTACTATTTTTACCACTTACATTGTTGATGAATTAGGCAAACTTTCCTCAAATTTGGTGTTATTATAAGTTGTAGTAGTTACATGGATTTAACCTTTAAGATTATATTGTGTAACAAAGTCTTTTTTTTTTTTTTTTTTTTTTTTTTTTTTTTTTTTTCAAACGACAAACATATATATAACTAGAAAACTCAAAAAGAGTACAGAGGCGATGTCAACTGACACCAAGGAACCAGATAACTGAACCTACCCTCTTGAACTTCCGAAAGAATTCAAGAGGTACAACTCCAACAAGGAGGCAACCGCAAACTCAAAACTAAATTTCACCAAGGGAAAAAAACTCCATGAAGTGTAACAAAGTCTTATCACACACACAAACACAAGCATTGCCCTGAAATTGACTGGCATTTTAAGTCATTTCAGGTTGCTCCTATTCCTATACGTACCACCACATCACAGCTTGGCATTACAACTCTTATCCATTAGTAGTACAAACGGTGCCCTACACATTTATTTTTGCAACCCAAATAGAAAATCGTTTTCTCAAAAGTTTGTATTGTTTTGACAAAGCCATGTTATCCTGTTAGGCACGTGTTATTATGTTCATCAAATATGTGATGGAATGATATATGATTGAATATCACGATGTCTTGACAAACGTTGGATATGTTGCTATTGTGTATAATTGTGTATTTACAGTATTAATTTTAAGTTATTTTTTAGTATGTGTAACTCTAATTTTGTGTGTATATACTTGGTTAATAAAGTTATTGTATCATCGGATTGAGACGATTTCACTATAAATTTTGTCTCGTCTCTCTCGTATCATGATATTAAAGCTTGATCGCAAGATTGTTTCTGTCAATTCTCATTTCAAAGGTGCAGCAAAAACCCTTTCTCTCTCTTCGATAAGCCCCAAATCAAAAAAAGGATAAAACCTAAATTGCTGCCTTTTCTCAGCCGGGCCTTCGGGCCACCATGACGGCGACCTTCATCGCGCTGTACGGACGGCTTTCAAAGAATCGGCGGACGTGGTAGCGGCCTCTTCTTCGAGCGATGCGGCGGATTCTTCCTTGGTTTCGCCTCCTTTCTGGTCGTCAAGGTAAGATGTATTCCGTCAATTCCTCGGCGTATAGGTGGCGACAGGCTTCCGACGAGGCTTTGCAAGTAGGTTGTGGTTCCAATTACCACCTCGGTGGTGGTCGGGGCCGAGTTTGGGCGGTTCCACTCTCCTTTCTTCTCCCGTTATTCTCCTCCTTTGGTCAGTCGGTTGGGTTGCTGTGGAGTCAGGTCGGATCTGGTCTTCTGTACTGGGCCCGGGTTGTCGGGATTTGAGAGGTGGAGTTTGTGTTGTTTTCTCCGGTTGTGGGTCTATGAGTTGCTACCCGGATGAGGGTCTCGGTCCTTTGGTCTTGAAATTGGTTAGGCGATTTATCTGCAATTTTTGGCTTTGAGGTTCTAAAAGTCGCTAATTCAATTAGAAGGTGTTTAATCAACTAATCATATAAAACCGACAAATACTAACTCGACAAACTAACATTCAATTGTTTCCAACTGCAAGATTGAAGTGTCACTCTTCGATTATATCAATCAATCAAGCTCAAATTCATCAATTCCTAATAAAAATAACTCACATAAGCAAGAACAATTCAAGCCGACAAATGCACGTTAAACAAGAACAATCATTCCCCTATCCCTAGCAAAAAGAATCAGCTATGTAACATGAATTCAACACGCATAATCATTCTACTCAAATTAATCATTATTCATGAATTAAATAAGAGAATAAAATTCTTACGATTAATCTCAATTCAAATGTTGAATCCAAGATACAAGCTTCATCCAAGAGTATGAACAAAATCTAAGTGAAAAATGGAAAATAAAGATAAAAAGAAGAAGAAAAATGAAGAAGAAGAAGAGAGGAAGAAAGGAAGAGTTTCTGGTGTTTGTCTCAGACCTAGGGTTTTCACCTGGTCGAGAGGTCTCTAAAAATGAAGAGTCGCACACGTATTTATAAGTACAGGGAATCACGGCGCGGGACAGTGCACCACGACACGGAGCAGCATGGCGCCGCGGCGCGAGGAGCATCACGAGCGCGGGGGTGCCGTCCATCGCGGCGCGGCAGGAGTTCACTTCACGGCGCGGGGGTCGCGCAAAGCCGTGCTTGGAGAGATACGTAGCAGATGCCGTGGTGAACTTGATCCAATCCTTCAAAGACACCGTGGTGAGAGAAATCATTCCGTGGTCGATTGTTTCGAAATTTTGCTAATTTTTTGGATTTGAAATTTAATCACTAGTTGGTTTTGGATATTAGGGGTTTTCTTGGGGGGTTGTGTTGATGATGATAAGTTACAGTGAGTTGTATGTTGTGAGTTATATGTTTTGATAAGTGTTTTTTCTGTTCTAATGTGTGTTTTAATTGAGTGTTTTCTTTACTCAACAGAGGCTACTGAATTGTGGAGATTTTTTGGCCACGTGTTCATTGCGCGTGGAAAAATTGACTTGAAAAATGAGAAGACGAAGGGATATGGTGGAGGGCCTAATGCCAGAGAAATTTGGCGGTGGAGAAATCGGCTGTGGAGATGTAGAGGAGAAATTTGGCGCGTTGGTGCCGGAGAATTAGGCCTTCCCGACGAATTTGAGGGATTTCGGTTAGAGAACACGTGCAATTCCTGTGGGGATGCAACCTCCTAATTCCAGGGCAATGCATCATCCTGTTTTCGAGCTCGACAGGAGGATCGATTGAGCTATCGTATTAGAGTATGAAATTTGCAGAGTTAGAATTACTTTTTTTTTTTTCATTTTTAATAATATTTAGGGTTGTATTTTTTCTTATAGAATTTTGGTTTATCATTTTGTGTGCAGAAAAATCTCACTGTTGGTCTCTACAGCCTCCTCAAATTATTTCAATCTTTTTTATGATGAGGATGATCATAGCAGGAATCAGCTCGGGCACGGCCAGGATTCAGACCAGGTATTGTTACACTTGGCTACGTTTTCTTGTCTCATGATTAAAATTTGTGGACTTCTTGCTGGTTATGTGTTCTTCTGATTTCATAGGGCGCTCACGAGGAAATCCAAGCAGGAGAGTGTGTGTTTGTATGAGTTCAGCCTCTTCTACAGAGTGTCATAAGTGGCCCCTCTATAAAATTCTTTTTTATGATGCTTGTAAAAGGTATTGGGGACATTATTTATTACAGGGACATATTATTGACCAATATTTAAGAATATACATTAGAACACAAAAGATTGAAATGTTCCATTGCTTATACTTTTATTGTTGTTTACATGAAGACTGTTTCTTCTGGCTAGGCTCTGAGCCTGTGGGATGCCCTGCATGCACATCTAACACCCGAACACCACTGGCAACGTTAGGAAACGTATATGAAGCACCACAATCTTCTTGTTGTCCATTAAGATAGTGGTCGCTACTTCAGGTCCTGCTTATTCCACCCGAGCTTTCGTGTCTTGACTTTTATGTCTGAATCCCTAGCGCCATTGGTAAGTGAATCATTTGGCTTGCGCTATTGCTCTATTTAACTATTTAGGTCAATTATATATGTATTCTTTATCTGGAGTAATGTTATTGATTTTTAGTGTTTTCATTTGCGTTATCAGATCCTTTTATCAATGCAGCTGAAGATTTGGGTGCAGTGTCTAAAGAGTATGTGAATATTTGCATACAACAAAGCAATGGTAGGAAAAGCCTGATGGCTGTGCAGGGTTTAAGAAGGAGTTTAGCTACAACAAAATCCTCAAGGACCTGAGGAATGAAACTGGCTGCAATGGCATTGTTGTTCAGGCCCCTCAGCTAGGCCAGGTGTCTATCCAACTATAAAACCTTATTATTCCATGATGCGTTTATGCCAGTCCTTTTATGTGCTTTTGTTCCGTAATTCTCATTTTCGTCTGCTGTTAATTATTCAACTCCAAGGTGACCATGGGCAGAATGTATTAAATTCTTTGTGCAGATAGTTTCTAAATTATTTTCGATATTTTTCTTTGGTTATGGTATTTCTTCTGATGTTGCTCGAAAGGAACATCTTTCAGTTTCTGTAATTAGAAAGAGTTATTCTTTGTCCCCAGGCTGGCATTGTGAAGAAAGAACACATCAAAATTCATTGTATCTGGAGCCGTGATGTTTATTGATCTTCTGTAGTTGAGGTATTCATGCTTTGTGATTTCGGTAATCGTTCTGATTATATTCCTCACTTCCAGGTGAAATATATTCCTCATCTACCTTCTCCTTTTTTTAGTTATTGTGAGTTTGGGTAAATTTAACTGACATAAATCAGTACGAGATAATTTCCTCTGTGGTTTTCTAATGTAGCCATAGCCGCGCCCCTGCCTCCGGCGCCAGTAATGTTTGTTCTATCCGAACTGTTGTGTGGCTGGTGCCGGCTAAGCCGAATGATTTGGTGAAGACATCACTCCACGGGTTTCTACTGCTGAATTGTAAGGAGAGTTTTATTTTGCTTGGCATATTAAATGTTATTCTTCTAATATTCAACTATAATTTGAGTTTATTTTGCTGGGCATGTTCAACAATATTCTTAAATTGTTTTGTGATTTGGTAGTTGGTTGCTAGGGGAAATGTTGGTTCATTTTTAACTTTCTTAAAAGTTTATACTTTTGCTTTTGTTCAGGCACTGAAGAAAGGGTTGTTGCTAGAATTCCGGAAAGACCCGAAGAGGTTGCTGGTAGCTGTTGTCGAGAAACCAGATTGCAAAAAGATTTGGATAGTTACAGATCATGTAACTTCTTATGTTTGCATTTTAAGCACTCTCAAGTTTTGGTATGTGCTTTCTGTCTTTTGGAAACATGACATATTAAGCAACAACAAATTACTTTCATTGTTCATGGTGTCGAGAAGTTAGACCAAACAGAGATATCGATCTTTGTTTAGAAAGCTGAAGATAATTTGGATTGTTGTCCTTGTAGTTCTAAATTAATGGACAATTGCCAATAGTGAATAATGTTTTATTAGCCATCTATTTCACAAGTAACCACAATTGTCACATTTTCGCACCAACATAAGTTATTTCAACAACAAAACAGCTGTAACACAATGCAACCTTAAAACACATATTATCAGTATTAATAAAAGGTGCGTATGTGTATTTTTACACCGGGTGTTAGACCGCCGTGCGTGCACGGCGTAAACCCATCTAGTATATATATGAAGTGAATAAATTTCACCCGGCTCCTTCAACTCGAACGGCCTCCGTACCTGTAGAACCCAACACCGGGGGTGGCCCCGGCGTCGGGCCTCCGATGCCTAAGTCAGTCCTCATATCAAGAGAGATAGTGTGTAGTCATCAAAATGAGTAGAGAATGAGAGAATGAAGTACCTTGGCCTCCTTTTATAGGGGGAGTGTACCTTTTGGGCCCAAGTTGGGCTTGACCCCTATCGTTGGGCTTAGATGTTTTAGTGGGCTTATCCTTCAATACATATCCGCTTTATCCATTAAACCGGGTCCAGTATAATATCCTATATCATCTAGTCCCCCCCACTCTGGTCGAGTAAGCATGACTCGATCCACGAGTAAAAATTCCTCTTCGGATTGTTTCCGTCGACCTGCCACTGAGGTCACCATTTGAATAAATCCTCGGCCACCAAATAGTTATCAATCCTCCAAATGAGCATCGGGACCCCAAATGAATACCGAATATGACCACCAATATCAAGAATCGAGTGATCCACCACTGAGGTCGAACGCCAAGAATCGAGAGACCGTTTAGGTCGAAAGTCGAGAATCGAGAATCGAGAGCCTGCCTCTGAGGTCGAACGCTGAGAATTAAGAATTGAGAGACCTGCCTCTGAGGTCGAACGCCGAGAATCGAGAATCGAGAGACCTGCCTCTAAGGTCGAACGCCGAGAATCAAGAATCGAGAGACCTGCCTCTGAGGTCGAAAACCGAGAAGCCAGAATCGAGAGACCTGCCTCTGAGGTCGAACGCCGAGAATCAAGAATCGAGAGACCTGCCTCTGAGGTCGAACACCAAAAATCGAGCATCGAGAGACCTGCCTCATAGGTCGAACACCGAGAATCAAGAATCGAGAGACCTGCCTCTGAGGTCGAACAACGAGAAGCCAGAATCGAGAGACCTGCCTCTGAGGTCGAACACCAAAAATCGAGCATCGAGAGACTTGCCTCTGAGGTCGAACACCGAGAAGCCAGAATCGAGAGACCTGCCTCTGAGGTCGAACACCAAAAATCGAGCATCGAGAGACCTGCCTCTGAGGTCGAACACCGAGAAGCGAGAATCGAGAGGCCGTTGAGGTCGAAAAACAGGAACTGAATGACCACTCCCTGAAGTCTTGAATTTGAAAATTTGAATTTACGTCTGTTGTGTTTCAGTCACCATGTTCGAGCTCTCTTATACCCCCTCGTCCTATCGCCCCTCAGTTCAAAAGTTAAAATTCAATCATGTTGTATCTTCCTGTTCATGACGGAATGAATTCCATCTCCCTTCCTTTAAAGTCGAAAAATCAATTCGACAAAATCAATATAAAACGCAATCAACCTGCTCATGACGGAATGAATCCCATCTCCCTTCCTTTAAAATCGAAAAATCAATTCGACAAAATCAAGATAAAACGCAATCAACCTGCTCATGCAGTAATGAATACCATCGGCCTACCATCGAGGTCTACTCGATCTATCTGTAATGAATCCCTGAGTTTGCTCGAAATGAGCCTCCTCTATCTGCCACACTGCTCGAACCATCCATAACGAGTTTGATTGACCTTCCACTGCTCAACATATCCGGTAACACATTTGATCGACCTGTCACTGCTTCTGAGGTCTCCAATAAGCTCCATATCTTCAACGACCCAACATTAGGATCGACCACCCAGCCCGGAGGCCTTAGTCATGGTGGATTTTTTCTTCGAACACATGTCCACCCTCGAAGGAGTGGTCGATACATGCGACCACCCAGCCCGGAGGCCTTAGTCATGGTGGATTTTTTGTCTTC